CTATCATTAATAAAAGATTGTCTTTTTTGTACGAAACACATAATACTTAAGGCGATGTAATCGCTTTGTATGAAATTACCTGATTATAAAAGTCCTAGTACAATATTTTCGCATGAGTATCGACTATTCTATCTTTTCACTTTTCCGCCTCGATATTTCTTTGACAGATTTTACTATGGAGCAGACAAATTATCAAGTTTCAGTTATAATCGACCGTGATTCATTAAATATTTAGGTATGTAAGTGTCTGTTTGTAATGTCAAAATAACAGCTTTTTACTAATTGTATATAAAAGTATATACGGTACTTATAACAAAAACACATTTTTTTTAAATTTTGTCTGTCTGTCCGTCTGTCTGACTGTCTGTCTGTTTGTTCCGGCTAATCTTCGAAACGGCAGAACCGATTTTGACGGGACTTTCACTGGTAGATAGCTCATGTTACAAGGAGTAACTTAGGCTACTTATTTTTCGAAAAATAATTAGGGTTCCGCGCAACAAAATTAAAACCCTAAAGAACACGCGGGCGAAGTCGCGGGGAACAGCTAGTTAATACATAAAACACAGGTAGGTATCTAATATAAAAAATATAAAATAAACACTATTTTGCCTTGATGTATTCTACAAACTCCCAGTAATTATTTGTTAGTAACAATTTAAAATTCTTTAGGGACAATCTCTAATCTGTGCAACTGTTTGACCACAGACTATTAAGTGTGGTTTTAAAGAAATAAGATACTTACGCTTGCACTTACTTTGAGACATTTGCAGTATGAATTTGATATGGACGTCAACACACGACATAGTTTGCCCCCAAGCAACAGTTATGTGTCTTGTAAACAATGTATGTTTTATTTAATTTAATTTATTGTATTTGTAAAACATATTATAAGCGAATTTTAGCTTTTTGCAGTCTTTCTCAAATATTAAATAGCAAATCTCACACTCATTCGTGCGCGCAATATGATTAAAAAGGAGCACAGAATAGAATAGAATAGAATCATTTACAGTCGACTCTCGATAATTTGAAACTCAAGGGACTAGAGTAAAATTTCAAATGACCAAGAGTTCAAGGAGTTCAGATATCCAAGAGGGAGGGAATAAAAAATCAAATAAACAAGAGTTTGATGAAAATTCGTGATTTATTATTTTAAGCATTTGTACAATTATTCGCAAATGTTCATTTTGAAAAGAAGTCTCTCACATTTATCGGGCGAGTCCAACCTCAATGGCGATTGCTGAAAACCAACGCTACCGCAATTTTACGATAGCATTATGTTGAGTCAGTGCCCTTTTCGACACCACATCACTTATATCTTTGATGTTTTTATGTATCATTTTATTTTCTGTATCAAAACTGTATGAGTGTAAGTTGCTGAATAAATGCATGTCTATGTCTATGTCTAAGTTAAATGTAGTGATTATATACTCTTTGATACCAACAATATCTAATTAAAACATCCGTCAAGCTTGCGGCTTATTTAACTTGATTGTTTAATATCGATGGTGACAAAGGCATGGTGAAAATCACAATAAACAATTTTTTTTATAGGATTGGGTGACAAACGAGCACACAAGGTAAAAACCAAACTGTATAAAAATACGCATGAACGTGGTTAAAATCTAAAGTACAAATAATTATAGAGGAAAACGCAATATTCTATCGAGTCAACATAGCGTTCAGATTCGGGGGTCATGGGTTCCTTTTACATTGTTATTTACGTTATTTTTTATCGAATAGTGTTACAAACGAGTACACAGTCCACCTGATCATGTGGTTGCTGTGACCCATAGACATCTACATCTATCGTCAATAAAAAATCAAACGCGGCGGACACTCTCAGAAATGAGAGGAGGCCTGTGCCTGTGACTGTATAGGCTGTAGCTTTAACTTTTTTTTACTTTATTTCTTATGTGAATCTTACTAAGTGAATATGCCTATTATTAAAGCAAATAAATAAATAAAAATTCATTGTTTTTCCAAAAGATAGTCATATCCTGGATAACCTACATAATTACAACAAAGTATACTAATAGTGATGTTCACAGCAAGGGTTTAAAATATGATAAAAAAAAACTTTTAGCGAAACACGCGCCGCCACGTGCCCGGTAACCGCTCCGTATACAAATTAAGGCTTACAGAACCCCAAAGAGTTTGTTTCTATTTAATTTCGTAAGTCGTGCATACATTTGTTAGTTTTGTGCGCACTGCCTTCCACTGGTATGGTCATGGCGGAAATATTTAAATACACCAAGAAATATGGTTGAGGGCTTGGTAACGCGTATCTAAGAGTTCAGGACCCGTGAAAATAAGTTTATACCTTCTTCGAATGAGAGAAAAAATCAATATTTATAGATAGTAGAGCCATGTTGTAGCTATATTAGTAGTATAGTTGTAGCACGAATGGGTCGGCTCGACCGGGGAAGGACCACGATCTCACAGAATACCAGCGTAAAATAGCAGCTTAATGCTGCTGTTTCGTATGGTGAGTGTAGAGAACTGGAGACCCTTTTTACTGGAAACGAGGCATTCCATCTTAGACCTCACGAATGACAACGCATCTGCATTTTGATTGGTAATCGACGACAGATGTAGATGTCTATGAACCACTGAAACCACTTATCATTAGGTGGATTGTATGCTCGTTTGTCACCCTTATTTTATAAATAAAGCCTCTTTCAATATACTCGTCACTAGTGGTAAGACTTCTTTCCTGCCCAGGAGTCTGTATAGGTAAATTCTACCCTCTTACCTACTTTCTGTATTTGAATTTTTTTTATTTTGATTCTTTTTTATTTCAAAGCTGGTGCTTCTCGTATAGTCCTATATAAATTAGTTGAAGGTCTAACCATTGGTTTTTGAGTTATCTTTAATAGTTTATATTGAAGTAGTTTGTACATTTTTTTTTAATTTTACCACTCGTGTTCCGGTGTAAAAGATATAGAATGTCTGTATAATGACAAAACAGGCTACGGTGTATTTTTTTTATAGGATAAGGGTGACAAACGTGCACACAGTCCACCTGATGGTAAGTGGTTGCTGCGGCCCATAAACATCTATATCTATACTCTATTACAAAATCAAAATGAAGATGCGTTGTCACCCGTGAGGACTAAGATTGAATGCCTCATTTCCAGTAAAAAGGGCCTCCGGCCACCTACACTCACCAAGCGAAACGCAGAGGTAAACCTCTAATTCACGCTGGTTTTCTGTGAGGTTGTGGTACCACCCCGGTTCGAGCCGGCCCATCCGTGTGACAGCAAAAGCTGCCGCGTGGCTCTACCACTGTTAATAGTATTAGATCTTAGTAGAAAAGCTTATATTAGTACAGAAGATACAAATTAGTTGGAGGTGTCCGTCGGCTGCAGTAGGCACTAACCATCAGATGGACTGCAAGAAATCTAACTAACTCATTTTATACACATATTATTTTTACTCTATTTTTAAACGTTACCCCCACACTAGGATTTTCTCCTGTATCGTGGAGGCAGTTTACAAACACAAATTGCACAATAACAAACATCCAGACCCGGACCAATTATTTGTAGATCATACAAATAATTGTTTAGCATAATTGTTGAGCAGCAACTCATTGCTAAGCCACTGCGCCATGGAGCCGTTATCTAATTATCTAATTAATATGTTTTTATCTTCTTTGTTATAATAATAATAATGTCCTCTAAACCGAATTTGGTCACGGCGGCGGCCAGCTTCATTGAAGACTAGCCATCGGCGCAGGATTACGGTGCCCAAGTGTATGCGCAGGCACAGGTGCATTATCTATTCCCTCACTCTCATAGTTCGATGGGACGATAAATCGACACGACCGGAGTGAGATCAGGCGCAGGACCAACGGGTTTACGTGCTTTCCGAGGCACGCGGGTGAGACTCCACCAACTTCCTGACTCCGGGCAGCTACTGAGAATTTCTTGACTGAAAATCTCAATAACTGATTATTTTGGCCCGACCCGGGATTCGAACCCGGGACCTCATGATCAGCAGTCGCACTACTACAACCACTAGATCAAGGAGGCAGCATGACTGACTTCATTGTAATGAATATTATTAATACTTTATACAAAAAACCTCACTTAAAGTAATAAAAATTGCATGTATTTGTTAATAGATTTGGTTTGCATTGGCTTTGTAAAGGGTCTGTCAGCTTGTCCGTCCCAATATTGTGACGCCTAATTGACTCGCCGTTTGTATGTGACGGGTAAAGCGTTTCGCAGATTTGTTCGTTCGTTATGGGATGCTGACATGTTTTGATATGTTATGATGTTGTTTATTGTGTAGGATTTGTGTGGGAACGGATTTGCTATCTAAATAAGCTTAGATGTGATAAATGACTTGTTGATGTCCAACGTTGTTGTTGTCCAATACAATTATCACTTTTATGTGGTAGAGCCACATTGCAGCTGCAGCTATACTATGGTTGTAGCACTAATGGGTCGGCTCGACCGGGGAATGACCACGCTCTCACAGAATACCAGCGTAAAATAACAGCTTAACACTCCCTCCCCCTACCCCCCCTCCCCCCTCTCCCCTATCCCTTCCCCTCCTCCTAACAAACGATTCTAAATTTTACCCTCCGGTTCCCTATACTCACCATACGAAACACAGCAGCATTGTGCTGCTAATTTACGCTGGTATTCTGTGAGAGCGTGGTCCTACCCCGATCGAGCCGACCCTTTCGTGCTACAACTATACTACTAATATAGCTGCAGCATGGCTCTACCACGTAAAAACGTGAGATAGTAGTCAAGTACTTATAATAAGGCTTACAAGCAGAAAAAAATCTTGCTCTCGTAAATTCTGGGTGATTCTGGGCGACGCTTATATTAATTCCTTGCTTAAAGACTAAAGACTAAAGACTATGCCGGGACTGTTCGCAACCGATATTGCACGGATATACTAAGATGAGAAATAACCAAATTCGTTAGAAATATTGTAAAATATCTGTTTAAAATGTCAGTCCTTAAAATGTTTTCTCGACTTACCGTCTTTGTTCATTCCCATGGCGAGGCATTTCTTGAGACGACATGCTTGACATTGGTTCCTGTGAGCCTTGTCCACCACGCACCTTCCAGTGCCAGCCTGACATCTGGATAACAAATATGTTATTCATTTTAGTATTCTTTGGCAATAATAATAAAACACGATACTAGTGGAATTACTTTAGAGTCTGTCTACGACTACTACTGTCTGTGATTGATGTCCATCCATGACAGCCTTGGAGGTTTGGCGGGAACTTGACCGGCGACGGATTGCTGCTCCTGTATTATTATTTAAATAATGGATTGAAGTGGATTTTGATATGTAAAAAAGATGCGATTTTGTGTATTAAGTGTCTGCGCCTGTGAACTATTAGTGGAAACGGTGAAACAAGTGCTCTGATGGTGATGTGATTCTCAAGATAAGGTGTCTGTTTACTTAGGCGCCTTATAGACATAGACATAGACATGCATTTATTCAGCAACATACACTCATACAGTTTTGATACAGAAAATAAAATAAAACATAAAAACATCAAAGATAAAAGTAAATAACAAAAAACAGTCATAAAATGATCCGATTGCATGAGTGATGTGATGCTGAAAAGGGCACTGACTCAACGTAATGCTATCGCAGGATTGCGGTAGCGTTGGTTTTCAGCAATGCCCATTTACCCTTGAGATACCATCGCCAAATGTCAGCTGTCTGTTGGCTCAAGTTGCCGTCAAAATCTCCCAAAGGCGGCACAATGTGACGCATCAACATATTGTGAAGCAGTGTACTATGACGGATAATTATACATTGTAACTTCAGACTAAGAAGGGCTAGAACCCAGAGCCGTAAAGACAGTTATATTAAAAAAAAACAAGACAGCCTTTCAAAAGTCCACTAATCTGAACTGCATTGCACTGCATTTTACATAGGGCCCTCTCATAGATTACTGGGGGCATTTTGCCATAGCTGCCTCGTTTAGCAAGATAGTTAGTAACCGTAGTTTTTTTATTATTTTGAGTTGTTATCAGGTAAATGCTTCTGTCCTTTTCCTGTTTCGTTTCCACCTGGCGTCTCTTACAACATCCATTTCATGATGTATAAAAATATTCACCTATGTAGTGAATTTTCCATGCTACAACTATATTACTGGTATAGTTGTAGCACGAATGGGTCGGCTCGACCGGGGAAGGATCACGCTCTTACAAAATACCAGCGTAAAATTGCAGCTTCACGCTGCTGCGTTTCGTATGTGTATTCGACAAAGAATCTACATTTTGATAAGTTATCGAGGATATATGTAGATGTCTATGGGAGGATATATGTAAATTGAATTGAATTTATGGAGTGAAATTCAGCCTTAATTATAAAATTCTCTTAATTATAAAAAATCTATTTTTATTGTAACCCAGTTATTGACTACTATCCCATTCGGTGGTAAGGAGTGATGAAGCACTAGATGGTAAAGTGTATTTTATTAAAATTGTATTATATTAACTCTTGTCTTGATGATGCCTAGATAGTAATCGAATGGAAGCACACACCAGCAAACTATTTTTTCTGCCGACTTCCAAAAGGAAACGGTACTCAATTCGACTGTATGTTTTTTTTTTATTTGTGTTACCTCATAACTTTTTACTGGGTGTACAGATTTCGATGATTCTTTTTTTGTTTGAAAGCTGATACTTCTCGTGTAGTCCCATATAAATTTGATTAAGGTCAGACCAATAGTTTTTGAGTTATTCTTAATAACTTATATTGAAGTCGGGTGTACAAAATTTTAAATTTTTAATTATTACCTTTACCTTTACTATACGCATTATGAAAGACGAAGTAATCCGATTGATTTCAATGCGTGGCATATCGACAACAAAGGGATTGACCCCCTGGTTTTTCGATGGTGGAAAGGGGAGGGAAGAATTAATTCTTGTAATTCCTGTTCACACTCCGAAATACATCCTATAGAATAACAATAGGCTGACTACTGTGCGCCTATGCTCGAGTCTAACGAGACTGGTTTCAATCAAATCAAGGTAACCAATAAGCCTCTTATCTTAGTGCTAGTAAGATTACTAAAATTTAGACATAAGGTACATATTTTTACTTTACGTGTTTATGTTTGAGGATAAAATAGAAAGTATATTTATAAATGGCACTCAAAGGGTCTCTGAAACATCATTTCAAAATGTATACCTAATTCATTGTTTTATTTTCAATTATATTTAAAACTAGGTGATCCCCGCGACTTCGCCGGCGTGGAGTTATTTTTCGCGGAACCCTAAAATAAAAGCTGCCCAAGTTACTCCTTATAACATCAGCTATCTGCAAGTGTGTATAAATATTGACAAATATTGACATTAATATTTATACGATACTAACGTCACTCAATTGTTTTGCCTTCCCGGAACCCTATCACTAACACTTAAACTTTAATGTATGGTATTAAAGTTCAAATTGACTTTTAAGTAGTATTACGAATCTTTTGTATGGGAATATAGAAAAGTGTTGTTTTTAGACTTTTTCAGGCAATTTTTAAATTTTTCTCTCCGTAAGAACTATCTTCGTACTTCAAGGAATATTATTAAAAAAAAATTAGTGAAATCGGTTCGGTTGCTCTCGAGATTTGCGCTTAGCAACACATTCAGCGATTCATTTTTATATTATAGATACTTCCTAAAAAAATAATTATTCAAAATTGCTTTAATGTTTCTCATCTCTATCGTTGTATCTTTAAATAAGATATATGATGATGATGCCAATGAGATAAATTAAAAAATCACGGATATGTACAGACTGAAGGAAAATTATCAGAATTTAATTTCTTCAAATAATACACTTATATAAAAAAGTTTCCCAAAAAAAAATTGGAATAAAATCGTGAAAATTTACAAATAGGCATAAAATTATATTTAGGGTGATGACGTAATTATATTAGTGCGGTCAAATAATATCCTCTGTAGCGGCGGTGTGAAAACATCATTCCGTGGGTGTTGTAAGAGACGACAGAAGGAAAGAAGTCAGGAGTTGGGCAGCAGCAACTGTGGTTGCCAACCTGCTTCGTCAAGCGTGGCAACTATGGCAAATATCCCCTCTATGAAGGCAATCTATGGAAGAGGTCTATGTTAAGCAGTGGACTTTAATAGGCTGTAACTTTAAAACAATCTAACAGTGTAGGTGCTAATAATTAGCCTTTCCGATTATTTTAACTTATTAAAATGTCTTTTTAAATGTACTCAATTTAAATTTATATAATAAGTAATTAAAGATGTCATTTGCTCTATAGTGATGACGGTGGGAAACTCCCGTTGGAGAATTTAAATTACGGTTACTTTTTTATAGACAGCTCCATGACGCAATGGCTTAGCAATGACTTGTTGCGCTGGGGAGCCGTGGGTTCGAATCCCTCACGGAACAAGTATTTGTATGGCCTACAAATAATTGTTCCGGATCTGGATGTTTGTCCTCGTGGATTTTGTTTGTAAACAGTCTACACGATACAGGAGAAAATCTTAGTGTGGGGGTAGCGTCTTAATAAAAAAAAAACAAACACACAACTGTTCACCTGATGGTAAGTGGATGCTGCGGTCCATAGACATCTACCTACCACATAAAAACTTAATTAGATTACCATCAAACATAGTTAATAGTATCGTTCTTCTTTTTTTATTTTACAAAAATCGACTTTCGAACAAATGAATCGATAAATTTATCAATTTATTGATTCATTTGTTATAACCTTAAAAAAATTTATAGGGATTCGAAGAACTGTCAGAAATAAAAATAAATAGTGATATAACAAAAGAAAAACTGCAATTATAATTGAAATCCGTAAATAATAATATGAAAACGGCTACACATGAAAGCAATCAAAGGACCCCCCTTTCTAAGGAGGAAAACTATCCAATCGAAGCGGATCGCTCCTGAATACCAACAAAAATCTGTCGGCACAGAAACTAATAAAGATTAAAGATATTTCATTACTGGTAATCCCTTATATAATAGGCTTTGGTCGAGTGGTTGACATTTGTCGCAACAGACTCCCGAAAGGACGTACTCGTATAATATAAAGAGTTGCGGTCCTAAATTTCACCCCTGTTTGCACCAATTAATACATTTTCCGTGGATCGTACATGAAATGATTATTTTGTAAAATGTGTTACGTAAAAGTGATGTTATCCCGATCATTATTAATACACACAAATACAGATGCACTGCACTACCGGGGAATATACAACATGATCTTAGTTAAGCTAGGCTGGTATTCCCGTGGACCTGCCAATATGCGGCGAAGGTGGAACACCATGGGGTCTTAGGCGGTGCGGGTCCGACATAACCCGTCCTTGCCCCCGCAAGGCGGGTATGCGTAAGCATTTCCCCATGTAAAAAAAGGATGGTGTGTCAGAGATACGGAGGCAGCCTTGTGGCATACGTGGTAGAACCATGTTACAGCTATATTAGTAGTATAGTTGTAGCACGAATGGGTCGGCTCGACTGGGGAAGGACCGCGCTCTCACAGAATACCAGCGTAAAATAGCAGCTTAACGCTGCTGTGTTTCGTATGGTGAATGTAGAGAACCGGAGACCCTTTTTATTGGAAAAGAGGCATTTCATCTTAGTTCTCACGGGTGACAACGGATCAGCATTTTGATTTGTAATAGAGAATAGATGTAGATGTCTATGGGCCGCAGCAAACACTTACCATCAGGTGGACTATGTGTTCGTTTGTCACCCTTAATCCTATAAAAAAAGCCGCTACAGAACCGAATCCGGAAACAATTAGTGTTTTTGCATATATGTTTGCTTTGGATGCAATAGAGTATTAGTCAGGTGCTCTGACCACTTAGTCTATCTACATAATCTTGTTTTTCTTCTTCTTTATCGGTCTATTGTACATGGGTCTCTTCCGTAGTAGAGAGGGTTTGCCTTAATCGACACGCTTGGAAAGCGGATTAGTTTTTTTATATATAGAATTAGCTGTTCTCCGCGACTTCGCCCGCGTGTTATTTGGGGTTTTCATTTTTTTGCGCGGAGCCCTAATTCTTTTTCTAAAATAAAAGTAGCCCACGTTACTCCTTCTGACATCAGCTATCTGCCAGTGAAAACAGACAGACAGACAGA